GTTTGTTTTACTCTTTGCTCTTTTGGGGGGGCCCACCACCCAGCTCCCAAATAAATTGCACATGGAGGCTTATTCTTACTTATAAATGCCTGGCCATAGCTTGGCTTGTTTCTTGCCAGATTTTCTTAACTTAAAATTATCCTTTCTATCTTTGGCCTTGGGGCTTATATCTTTATTCCTATAAAACTTTTCTTTTCTTCCTACACCATGTCTGGCTGTGTAGCTGGGTGGCTGGCCCTTGGAGTCCTCCTCCTTCTCTGGCTACTTCTTCCCCACCCTGATTTCTCATTCTATACATTCTCTCTGCCTGCCAGCCACACCTATCTTTTCTCCTGCCTTGCTATTGTCTATTCAGTTCTCTGTTGGACCATCAGGTGTTTGAGACAGGCAAAGTAACACAGTTTCGCAGAGTTAAATGCAGCATAAACAAAAGTAACACACCTTTAAATACTATTCTACAACAGAAATTGAGGAAACTCTGTTCCAAGAACTAAAAAGAAAAATCACAAAATAAAAATACAACCAAATTGAAAATATTACCAGAGAAATAGTAATTATAAAAGAAAGGAACTAAGGAAGAACAATTCTGGGATAACAGGACCCCAAGAAAGACACAGGGATCACCCAATGACAGAGAAATGGATGAGATCTACATGAACAACCTGGATGTGAGGGGGCAGGTAATGAAGGGCAAGGTTGAGGGAAAGAGAGCTTAAGGGAGTCGGAGATCCCAGATGGATCAAGAACAGAGAGGGAGAACAAGGAATAAGAGACCATGATAAATGAAGACCACATGAGAATAGGAAGAGGCAAAGTGCTAGCGAGGTCCCCAGAAATCCACAAAGATAACTCCACAATAGACTACTGGCAATGGTCGAGAGACAGCCCGAACTGACCTACTCTGGTGATAGGATGGCCAAACACCCTAATTGTTGTGCTAGAAACCTCATCCAATGACTGAGGGAACCGGATGCAGAGATCCACGGCCAGGCTCCAGGTGGAGCTCCAGGAATCCAATTAGCAAGAAAGAGGAGGGATTGTATGAGCGAAAATTGTTGAGACCAAGATTGGAAAAAGCACAGGGACAAATAGCCAAATGAATGGAAACACATCAACTATGAACTAATAGCCAAGGAGCCCCCAACTGGATCAGGCCATCTGGATAAGTGGGACAGTTGATTGGCTTGATCTGTTTGGGAGGCATCCAGACATTGGGACTGGGACCTGTCCTCAGTGCATGAGCTGGCTGTTTGGAACCTGGGGCTTATATAGGGACACTTGGCTCAGCCTGGGGGGAGGGGACTGAACCTGCCTGGACTGAATCTACCAGGTTGAATTGAATCCTCACGGGAGTCTTTGCCCTGGAGGAAGAGATGGGAATGGGGGGTGACCTCGGGGGAAGATGGGGGGGGCAGAGGGGGAGAACAAGGGAATCTGTGGCTTATATGTGAAATTAAATAAATTATAAAATAAAATAAAAAGCATAAGAAAATAAATAAAGAGTTCACTAGAATGCTGGCATCCACTTTCTCTGGATGTCATGGCAAAGGACTACAAGGCAGACCTTAGAACCACCTCACCCTTCTGAAAGACAGTTGTGATATTAGTGCAGTAGACTCAAACACAAGATGCTCTTTGGTCCTCACTCTTTCCCAAAGAACAAGGAGAAGTTTCCTCCATCAGCTTCATCAGCTCTTGTAGCTTTTGGCTGTTGTCCAGAGGCCTTGATAATGGTACTTCAATGCCTTCCTCTATTTCACATTACCTTTGCTTTTCTGTCTCAGATGCTATCTACCTCACCCTCCCTTTTATGAAGAAACTTGTTGTACGAAGACCTGACCTACATTATCTCCTCCATCCATAGCATGATATGAGGGATTTTAGTTCAGCCATGTAGTTTTTTTTAAGTTTTTATAACTTTTATTAAAAATAGATTCTTTTCTACTTTTTTAATTAGAGTAAAGCAGTATTATTGACTTTTGCAGGTAATCTAGTTGATAGGAGAATGTAGAAGTTTATGTGTAGTCGGAAGGTTTCTTGGGTCCCGCACAATATACAGAATGACATCCTACAGCTTTTATGTTCTTATACCTAAATAGAGGGATTTGTCAAAGGTCAAAGGACATAAAGGGAATGGCTGTGATATAGCAGTGTGTACTTATGGGAGTTCCAACACTGCATTTCTGCTCTGTGTTCTTATGCTTACAATATGAACAAATGTTATTATTGCAGCATAAGAACAGTCAAAATTGGAGAGTAAAATTCTAGAAACATTGATGAGTTAGCAGCTTTTCTCTCTTCATTTATTATTATGTTTTTTTATATTAGAAACATTCTACATGATCACAGAAACAGGGAATAAAGTTGAGAAATGATAACTAGAGATAAGGATTATAAAATAATCTTAGAGTGGATATAAAAGGAAAGGGAAGGCTTCCATTTGTAGAAAAAGCAAGAATGGCAGAATGAAGGCCACCGAGTAAGAAAGAGACCAGAGAACACAGAACAAGGTGGAAACACTATACAGGTGATTTTAGACACTGCAGTGATACAGTGTTTCCATAGACATTGCTCTCATTGTCACTGAAATTGCATTTTGCTGCTAATCAGAATCACTACTTGCATCTATGTGGTACACACTTGATGGTGGTGCTCCAAGGCTGTTGGTTACTCAAGTTCTGCCAGGAGAAATACAAGACATTTAACAAGTTCACTGTGATAAGACCTGGTGATGGCCAAAATGGTTCAAAGTTTGGCAATATTCTACATTGCTTGGCAGAGCTGAGAGAGTATAAAAATGGTAGCTCTCAGGAAATAACATCAACTTGAGTCCATGATGTCCAGACACTATGTGTATTCACGGGCCACCTATATTTTCTTCAAGTTTTGAGGATTAAGGAATCTTTTACACTCAGCTAGCCAACCCAAGTGAGGTAAATGAGAAGGGCAACAGCTCAGTCACACTATGAGGTTCTAGAAAAGGACAATTACCTGAAAGGGAAAAAGTTTTAATAAGACATGGTGCCCATGCCTATAGTCCTGTACTCAGGATGCTGGGTAGAAAAATTCCAAGTTTATTGTCACCCAGGGTAGGATAGTGAAGTCCTGTTTCAAAATGAAGTTCAAAATACAAATACAGGCTCTATCCATTTACTAGCTAGGTTCCCCAACCAAATTTATGGTAGGTTTTTCTACATTGACACATATTTTAGATCTTTTCTTTCCTTTTTTAAAAAAGTTTATTCAATGTGTCTTGCCATCATGCATCGTGATCCCATTCATTTTCTCATCCCTTTGCATCTGCCTTCTGACCCTGCAACCCCCTCCCCAAATTTTAAGAGAAAAAAAGGAAAACATTAAAACTGTCATCATGGAAGCTGCTGTGTGACATGATGAGTCACACAGTAAACCCCATTGTCCACATATCTTTACTTGCAAGCATTCATGGCAAAGAGTCATTGGTCTGGTTCATGGCCTCTGGTTTCTACTACACTGTCTATGTTGGGCCGTCACTGAGACTCTTCTTGGATACCCAGTTGTTGCCCTCTGTTGTGGAGATCCTGCAGCTTTGGTTCTGCAGGTCAGGCCTCTTCACATGGTCTAGCAGATCATAGATGGTATGGATGTTGGAGTGGGCAAAGTCATAATCCTGGTTCTGGGCCTAGGCAGCTGCAGGGTTGGTCTGCCAGCCAGTACTCCCCTGTCCTCACCACCAGGGGAAGCTCTACAGCATTGCCTTGGCTAGTTCACCTCTTGCAGCAATGAGATAGGGGTGGGGCTAGTTTTCCTGCTCACACACTGTCCGGGTCAGCTCTCCACCTTCTCCACCTTCACCACCAGGGCCATCTCTACTATGTTGCCCAGGTGAGGTATAGGGGCTGCTCCTGAATGCCGCAGCTGGTGAGGGACATGGAAAGCCCTCCAGCTCTTCTGATCCCAAGACCAGGTCCTCCAAGCTTCTCAGACACTGATGAAAGGGAGGCATCTCTCCTCTAACCCATGCCCCTTAATGTCAGATGAGCAATGGGGACAGCTCTCCCTTGCTCGAAACCTTGGGGCTCAGTCAACCACATCCCTGACAACAAGGTCAGCTCTGCTGTGCTGCCTAGGCGAGGAGTAGGGCCCGCTTCTCTTGAGTGCTGCAGCTGGCAAGGGGGGGAGGTTCATCTCACTTGTCTGTCGCAGGCAGTAGTGGGGGGAGGGTAAGGGGGGACATCTTTCCCACCCACACCACCAGGTGACAAATGAGTAGTGGAGACAGCTACCCCATGCTTACATCTTCGGGGTTGACTCATCCACACCTCCACCAATAGGGTTGGCCCGACTGTGTTGCGCAGGTGAGGTGCAGGACCTGCTCTCCTAAGTGTTACAGCTGGTGGGGATCCGGACAGCCCTTAGGACCGCAGGGTCAGCTCTCCCTCCTGCTTCAGGCATTGATGGGTGGGGGTGGGGTGGGGTGAGGGATCTTAACAAAATATATACAACAGATAAGCAGCATAAAAGCTCAAATAAGTGGATTTAATGGAAGTGTGATTAATAGAGGAATCATTCTAACTGAATAAAGAACATTGTTATTTATACATTTTATAGTCATTTTGTTACTGCTGAGCAAAATGCACAAAAACTAAAAGGTGGGAGTTTTTGTCTCAATAGAAGTAAATTACATACCAAAGCGACACTTTCATATTTTTTATTCCTCAAGCACTAAGGATACTTTCAGCCAAAATGGCAATCTGACATCAAGTCTGAGTAAACAGATTTGGAAAGCTTAAAAATTTGGAAATATATTTTTGTTCCCAGGTTTAGTACAACATAACGCCACCTTGAACAAATGGAGGAATAGCTGTGCGATTTTACAAACAAGGATTGATCATAAATCCATAAACACTTGTCTTGTATTACTCACTGTGTGATATTTACATTTCTTTCACATTGCGCTTTTCCAGGAGGCGATGTCCCATTTCTGTTTGTAAAGTCTCTCACTTTGTTCTCATTTGCAGTTTGGTTGCCACAAAGGAAACAAACAGTGCGAGATCTCGAAGTGCTCCAATGTCACCTTCCGATTTTCTGGACAAGCTGATGGGGAGGACGTCAGGGTATGATGCGAGGATCCGGCCTAACTTCAAAGGTAGCTGCTCTGTTGACTTCCTCGGGTACAGGGTGCTTAAAGAAGTTAGGTTTTCAAATTGATTCCACCAGAAACTGGAACGCTCACTTCAAATAGTCTTTGACATGCTGTATTAATAAGAGTTGTGCCTGCAAAAGAAAAGCTCGTTTTCGTGTTCGGAGATAGCATAATGTGCCCGCTGTGGACAAACGGTACTATTCTCTCCTAAATAGTTATTTGTTATTTGTTTGGTTTTGATTTTTCTGAGACAAGACCTTGTTATGTATTCCATGTAGTCCAAGCCAGCATTAAGCTCATGGCCATTCTTTTGCCTCAGTCTCAGCAATGTAGTATTATAGGTGTACACCGCCATGCCTGGGTTCTAAACATCTGTATTTCTTTTTGTTTGTTTTTTTGTTTTTGTTTTTTTGTTTGTTTGTTTGTTTTGTTTTGTTTTTCAAGACAGGGTTTCTCTGTGTAGCTTTGCGCCTTTCCTGGGACTCACTTGGTAGCCCAGGCTGGCCTCGAACTCGCAGAGATCCACCTGGCTCTGCCTCCCAAGTGCTGGGATTAAAGGCGTGCGCCACCACCGCCTGGCCACATCTGTATTTCTTATATCAACTTTTTACTACAGGAGTGTGTGTGTGTGTGTGTGTGTGTGTGTGTGTGTGTGTGTGTGTTAATGCCGATCTGTTATCTCACGGTTTGGAACAAAAGCTTAACATCTAGAGGTTAGGTTTTATTTATTTCTATCTATGTCTCTGTAAACCTGAAGCAACTAGAAAAAAAATAATAAGTTTCTTTTTTATATTAAGGATGGGAATTACATGGACATAGTTTTTGAGCTTTGGTTTGCCTGGAAACCTTTGTTGTAAAATTAATAGGCACTTGTTACAGCAGTTTATGTTTCAGAAAACACTCATTATAAAATGCATATACTTGCATCCTGATGGCTCGTCCACTGTGGGCATCTTCTATCGATATAGTTAATTTATCATAATTAATGGACGAGAGTCCCTCCTTTGTTCTAGAGCTCTTTCTTTCTGTTGAACTGTTTTCATGGGCTATACGACGTCATAAAAGCATGTTATGTTTGTACCATTTCTACATCGTATAGCTTCACTGCACTAAAATTCTAAAATTTAAAATGATAGGAGAAATCATATTTATTAACATTTTTATTTATATCAAACCACCAAATTTTCTATGAGTGGTAGGATGCAATTTAGTTCAGAACAGTCGAGTTGATTTGTACTTCTCCCCCAACCCTTTCTCCTTCTTTTCACTCTGTCATTTTTTAAGTATATTTTCTCTCTTGAAAATAAAATTGGAAAGGAAAGGCTTTCCAAGCCAGACCTTTGCTTGGTGTTGAGTGTTGACTTTTGTCATGTACAATGGCTTGGCTGTGAAATATTCCTGACAGACACAGGTGATTGAGTACTTGGGCTCCAGCTTGTGAGGTGTGATATAACTTCCAGCTGGTAATATCTAGCTGGAGGAAGCCTTGCAGGAATTGAAAAATGTAGCCTTGCCTGAGCTCTCTGCTTCACTGCAGACTGTGAGGAAGTGAGGAAGTCATGCTTTTAGTGACTGCCACCTGGACCAAGCTAGTCCCAGGCACCATGCTTTCCTTGCCAGAATAAACTGCATACCCTAAAACTGTGAGCCAAATAAATCCTCCTTCCCTTCCTTGCATGGTTTCCGTAACAATGAAAGTTCCTGAAATACCGTGATTGCCAACGCAGGGAAGAAGGCTTTTAGTCTTAGGCACTGAAAAGTATTGTGTTTATCCCAATTGTCAACAAAGTTCTTTACAATGTTTTAAAGTTCCCCAAACTACCAGTAGGAGGCTTGTTATCTAGGAAATGAGGAAGAAGGATGCTTCTGAGGTCCTTTTCGTCATTCCTGCTCCATTCAGTCTTCGATTGTATTCATACTTTATTTTATCTGTGTGGTGGTATTCTAATTGTACTGAAATGTGATTTTAATTGTATGTTAATAAATAAAGTCAGAGCTATTAGAGCCATCGAAAGAACATGGCGGTGGTGGCACACGCCTTTAATCCCATGATCTCTGTGTGTTCAGGGATACAGCCAGCATTGGAGACATACGCCTTTAAGACCTAGAGGGCTGTACTTACAGGCAGTGACGAGGCAGTCATGTGTTTGGGTTTACAACCAATGAGAAGGCAGAACAGAAAGATTATTTAAAGATAGACACACAGGGAAATAGCTCTCTTTCGGGAAGCTAGGAGCACACAGGAGGAAGGGTGAGATTTTAGATCTAAGCTCTGACCTCTCGGCTTTCTCTTTTACATTGGTTCTGTGTTTCTTATTTAATAAGATGGTTGGTTACATCTACATATCTGTCAGTCATCCTTAACAGCCTTTTACTTCTTAGGCCATTAAACGAATTATGAACTTCCTCCCATTTTCTTTAGTACATTAATTAATTCTCACTTTTATTTGGCACTATCCTCTTCTCTAGACAGAATGAAAACTGTCTTCAAGTCTTCATTGAAATAAAGTTTTGTGGTATCATTTGAAACTTAAAGATCTTAATACTACAATTGAATAGCAAATAAAAGTTTAATCATATTATAATAACACTATATTCAACTAAAATATTCTAGCAGCCACCCTTGGAATCTGCTTCTTTTCATTGTTACTAATTTTGGCCCCTTCCATTGGCCTTTCATGATCTTTAATATAAATTGGACTTCAGCAGAGAGTATTATGTCAATCACTCAATTCTGAAATCCTCACAAATATTTATTTTATACTTGTTGCTCTCTTAGTGTATCTCTAATGTACATTCTTTTTATTAAATAGAAATAACATGATTTGTTTTCATAGTATCCTTGTGTTTTCTTTCTACTTGAGTTATTTCTCTATATTAATACCTTTCTGAACATATCACAAATCAATTAACACTGCTAGTGTCTATCCGACTATATTTACACATACATAAATATACATAGATATGTATATAATATGCATGATAACATTTAATGTATTGTCCCTATATATTTTAATATAAGATCAATATTTTAAGGATTTTATTTTGTTATTTTAACTATTCCTGTGCACCAAGACACTATTTTTTCTTACTACTTTGGGAAATTGTTTTCTATTTGCCTGTCTATATATTGTAAGGTCATTGTGACAGAGTCTGTTGAGCAAGAACTTTTCTAAAATCATAAATGTCTACATGTTCAAAGTATATTTTACTTTTGTTCTCTTTTTACTTTTAAAACGTATGTTTTGATTGAAATAGAATTACATCATTTTCCCATTACCTTTCATCCTTCCAGCCCCTCACAGATACTTATCACTCCTGAGCACCCCCCTCACTTTCAACATGATAGACTTTTTCTTTCATTGTTGTGTTGCACATAGATTTGTACAAATACACTAACATTTAAATTACTGCTGTTGCATGTAGATAGACACAAATGCACAAATATATAAATATAAATATAAAAACAAATAAAGTCTGTTATTGTTGATTGTGTATATATGGTTCCAAGGCCTGCCACTCTACATTTGACAAACATAAAGCAAGCTCACCCCAGGGAAATTCCGATTCTCCTCCCAGAAGTCATTAGTTCCCTCTAGTCCTTTGTGTAGGGGTGAGGCCACAAGAAGTTCCCCTTTCTCCTTGTCATATCCATTGATATTCTAGGAAAAAAACAGTTTTTCAGATGATGTGTTGGTCCTCTGACAATCTTTTTATCTTTTCCTCCATAATATTTTCCGATCCCTAGATGGAGGAGCTGTGATTTAGATATATTTGTTCGAGTTGGCTCCCCGCAGTCTGATGATGTACCTTTAAATGACTATTTATATAGTAATTATGTCATTTTAATTTCAAAACATTCTCTAACTAGCAAAATAACAAGTTCAATACAAAAAAAACTCACCTTTTTCATTAAACTATTTCAATGTGAGTTGGTGATCTGAAATTATGACACTTAATTTTTTTATTAGAAGTGAGACCATTAGCGTTGACAACCACTAAAACTACATAACAAGAAGATACCATCTCCATCTAATTTCCAAATTCCCAATCATACTTCATCAGCTATTTAAATAATGATGGTTCCCTAACAATGCTATCCAGTTTACAGTCTCCTTTAGTCTGAAACAATTGAAAAGAGATATTTTTCATACACTATGTTCTCATTAGTTTCCTGTCTCTCAATTGCTCCCATATCCTTCCAATCTCCCTACTTATCCAAATCCATACCCTTTCTTTCTCTCTCATTAGGAAACAAACGACATATAAAAAGATCTTGGCATTAAAATATTTCTTCAGTTACCTGGAAGAATATAAATTAATTACCTTGTATTTGTCAAATATTTCCTCAACTTTTTTTTTAAATAGTACATCTTGGCTGAAGTTTTATAGGTTGCATCCTATCATATGTAGGTCCTGTTGATATTTATCATTACTGATAACTTTCACATGGAGTGCTTACATTGTTACCCATTAAAATATATCTACATATAGGAGCTATATCAAACACACATGTACAAGCACTGCATACAGACATGTTTGCATGTTTCTATTTTTACTTCCTTAAGTGTGATCACTGAAGACCATGACTTTACATGATACTTACAATACTATAAAGTTTATTTCAGTTTCTCAGTTTTCGTATTTTAACTTTCTCACCTGAAAGCAGAAACCTGACTCCCATTACCTTCCATATAATTATTTATTTGATCAAAATGTAACGAATTCTGGTGCTACCTCGTTTCCTTTGTTCCCCCCTTGGTTGCACTCTAAAATCCTGCTTAGTTGTGTCATCCTGAGAAGAGTGTCATTTAAATTCCCCCCTCGACATGCTAGGAACACACAGGACACACTCCCTACCCTTTCCTGGGTCTTACGTGCCTCACCAGTTTCTCATTGTGTTAACACACTTCTCACTTGATCTCTACCTAACATGTCATCTCTTTCAGACTTTCTCTACAGCAGTGCTTCTCTCCTGCAGTAGGTTACCAAAACTCTCAGAT